TTTAATGTCACATGTAAATATTGCTGCAACCAAGTCTTTAAGGAATCATTACTATTAAGGAATTTTCCTTTGTAATTTTGGTTGTCTATATTTATATGTACCTGTTTAAAGCAAAAAAAAAGTAAAAAAAAAAAGGAATCTAAATGATGAGGAAGACAAGAAAAAAGGAATCTCATTCATCAAAGAAAATTGGTTTCTGTCTGCACATTATGGTGAGTTCTGGTTACTGAATTTGGGCCCTGCTCAGGGAGCATTTAACACAAGAACATACAAGGAGCCCTTCTGGATGAGATCAAAGTTTAACAGTCCAGCATGATATTTTATACAGCATGTTTCACGCTTTTGTGAATCTCAAAATCAGGAAACAATGGCAATGTTGAAGGATGGGTAACCGTCTCAGTTTTTCTTAGTCTCATTTTCCCAATCTTCAGTTCTACATATTTTCAGATCGGCTTGGTTATCTCCCCCCCCCTTTTTTTTGTCATCACGAAAATGCATTTTTGGTATACATTTTTCTGCACATTTTACCCAAGTATGTGCACTTTTGTACCCACCGATTGGCCGGCGAAAGGATAGCTGTACTTCAGTTGGCATGCTATTTCAGAAAGTAGATTTGGAAAAGTTTGCCTCTAGATGTGAACTGAACCTAATTTCTCCCCCTCCTCTAGTGATAGTCCTTTTAGATTGCAATTTATGGGCTGGCTCCAGGATTTTGGATAACAATATCATTGTCTCCCCTTTGGCGTTGTCTTTTCAACATCACACTTTTAAAAAAAGAAAAGTCAAGTAGGCATTAAACATACACCATCCTGATCTTTTAGACCTTGTGTCCAATAGCACTAAGTGTCACACTGAAATATATGCACACACAGCAGGAAAGAATTTAAAAAGCCGAATGCACTGAAGCCAAGATATAAAAAACAAACAAAAAGCTGCTTTGTTACGTCTGGTGTTTATCAGTTTCCCTGGTAATAACTGCTCTGTATTAGACGGGAGAGCATCAGACGGAAAAGATTTATTAAACCAATGAAGGAAAGTGAGAGCAGCTGTTCTTGGTTTAATAGCTGATCACTTCAACATCAATCTTCCTATGTGATCAAGCTTTTTACAGGTGGTCTGCTGGATGGGTCCCCAACTGGTGGCTCAGGACCAGGGCACAGTTGAGACCCAGGGTGGGTCACAACCAGGACCAGTCCAAATATTGGAAGCTGCCATACCAAGTCAGACCATTGGGGTCAATCTCTCCCAGCCCTACCTGGAATGTCTGAAGCTGGAAGACCAAGCAGATGCTCTGTCACTGAGCTATAGTCCTTCCTCTCTCTCTTAGGCCATTTCACTATCATAGCTCAGTGACAGATCAGCTGCTTTGCATGCAGAAAGTCCCAGGTAGTCCCAAGCATCTCCAGCTAGGACTGGGATTAGGGATGGAGAAGATATTTAATTCCGTTCACATTTGCTGCTGAATTTACATAATCCACACTTTCCAAAGGTCCACAGGCTGCTGAAGCTTCCTCCTCAACCATCAACACTTGCCATTATCTTGCTTGATAGCATATCTATTTGGACTGTGATCTCCTATGCATACTAGCAGCTGGAAACCTGGGTGTGATCTTCAGGCAGGGATGGAGGAGAAATTTAATTCAGTGTGCATTTAAAGCCAACTCTATCAAACTGGCACTGTCCAAAATAATACACAAATTGAAATGCAGACATTCTTTGAAAGTCTCACTTCACTGAAATTTGCAATCCAGTTCCACAGCCAAATAATGTGTACAATAATAATAATAATAATGAATATTTGTTTATGTGCAGGGATTGAACTAGGAATGAGAAAAATTAAGAGGTTCAACTAAGTCTAATTCTCATTTGAACCTGCCTTTCAAGAGCCACAAGAGACTGTTTCTGAGGTTCAAATGAACTCCTGCAACATCCCCAATGTCCTTTGAAAAGGGGGGATACAAATTTCTCATTAGGAAACCCAAATGTCTATCTGTCAAAAGACGTTCCGTTCACAGTCGATGAACTTTCCCCATAAATTTCTGTCTCTGACACCCCGTTCCCAGGTTTGAGACGGTTGAAAATTTATCTTTCTTTACTCTCTCTCCTGCAGGCTTAAACAGTCAAAAATCCCCCTCTTTTCTCCTGCTTCCAAGAGGGGTTTTGGTGGTGATGAATGAAGGAAATTTAGAATTTTATATACGACTTTCCAGACTTTAGCTTACAAAATTTTTGCTTCAATCTATTTACAAAAAATGGGAGGCGGACTTCCTGTTTAGAACCTTCCCGTTTCGGTGCCAAATTAAAATATTTCTTAGTACTTAATCCAATTTTCCGTTCTACTCATGGGTACTTGTTTAGAGTCCAATTGTCCACAGGAAAAAGTCAGCGCTCTCCGGCAACGGCTGTGCGGCTTCACTCCGTAAAAGTAGCGGTTGATTCAAAACACTGCGCCACTCACCCCACGTCGCCCGGACCCCGAAAAGGGTTTCCCTGCGAGTAGGGGAGGCGCTCCTGGTGTCAGCCGAATCCCACGTTCCCAGGCTTCCTCCACCTGGGATTTTTAAAGGGTCTCCGCCTTCGCCACGGCGGCAAGACCCGATTTTCACGGAGCGGGTTCCTCTCTGTCAGAGGAACTCCGCCATTGCCGATGGCGCTGTCCCGGCAATGAGAAATATATTGATTCCAATGTTGCTTCTTGCAATCAAAAGAAACAAAGTATTTGAAAAGTGAAAGTAATTTTTCCTTGTTGGTCCTGCTTTTAAAAGATGGATACAAATAGAAATTGTCTCCTCTAGAGGGAGCTGATCTGGGGACCCCACAGCTGTATGATTAGGATCGTGAGACCAGACTCTAACCTTGGGGGGGGAAATGTGTTTACAAGAAGTCTTGGTGCTTGCTTTTTGCAAGACAAGTGCCTTGCTGGAGCAGATGCATGAGAAGATGGATTTGATGACTGTTGCAGTTAAAAACTTTGGACAAACGGCGAATACCCATATAGAAACCATTCAGGAACCAGCCCAGGAATCTGTTTTGATAGGGCAAGCGCAAGGGCAGAAGAAAATGGAGGAGGTTGTTGTTGAACCTCAAATAACACAAATGGAGAGGCCCGAGGCCTTGCAGGAGTATAAGCCGCTGTTCTCGAAGTTCGAATCTGGAGTGGACCGGGGGGGGGGGTCTGGAGTTGTGAGGGCTCTTAATTTTGGAAAGACCTTGAAACATGCTTTTAAATACTTTCTGGATTACAGTGTTGACTGTGGGGAATGGGACTGTGGGGAATGGGCTGATCTGCTGAGGAGAGATGGAGATGCTTTTGGATTGGAGTCCTCCCAAGACCTACCCCCCAATGAGAAAGAAAAGAAAACAAGAAAAAGATCAACAAAAGATAAAGTAAAGGGCAGGTATAAACAAGAAGAAGACCTGCAGAAGGGACATGGAAAAGATTTAAGAGCCTCGGACATAAGAGCACCAGGTTGATGGATTAGATAGATGAGAAAGGACTGACAAAACCCGAGACCAGGAAGAAGAGACGATGGATGAAGATTGGAAGAAAGTTTCAAAATTTATTTAGAAAAGTATTGTAAAATTAATGAGTATTAGAAAAATGTTGGAATGAAATTATTTGGCTTTAGCAGAAATGTCAAAAAGAATTATGAAAGAATATGTTATGGTTAAAAGAATTTGGTATATATAAGTTTTAAGTTTTAGGGTTTTTTTAGGTAAGATAAGGTTAAAATAGCTTAAGGTAATTTAAATGACAGAATATTGTGAAAGATGGAAAGGATTTGCTGAGATAATTAACAACAAATAAGTTAATGAAAGTTAAGGATTTGGGAATATTAGACTTGTTTTTTAATTGTTTGTTTATTTTTGTTTTTTGATTTAGATGTATTGTGTGTTTTGTTATTTTTTTTTACTTTGGTTTTTATTGATCTGTATTGTTTAATTGTTATGTTTATCTACTTCTTTCTCTCTTTTTCTCCCTCTCATGTCTTTTCTTTCTTCTTCTTTCTTTGTAACTTTAAAATTCTCAATAAACATCATTAAAAAAAAAAAAAGGAAACCCAAATGTCATTTAAAGCAGGGGTGAGCAAACTGTAGAACTTGGCCTAAGGTGGGAAAGATGGAGAAATGGAGGCAGGAGGTGGAAGAGACAGAGAGAGAGAGAGAGAGAGAGAAGGGGTGGGGTGCATGAGAGAAAAAAGTGTGGCAGAAAAAGAGGAAAAAGGATGACATAATGTGATTGCTAAGGGTTTCCTACCTTTGATTTAGGAGGCCAAGGCTGAAACAAGGCCTTTGTCACCTGGGTCAAAGACCCAGTTTGGCACCCGCCTATCTGTGTGCACGTACATACACATTCATACAAACACAGATACAGTCCCATGATACAGCCCCATTAATGATTAACCTTGTAGGCTCTTCTTCAACATCATGAAACTTTCCAACCATGCTTCATTATATTTTCCCATTTTAAAGCACATTAAACAACATCCTCACCCCACAGTGAATTAGGATGCAGTTCTCCCTTCCTTCAAAGGTTAACACTTTATTTATTTATTTATTTATTATTAATGTTGCAATATATATATGAATTTTTTTACATAATGATACATATACATTATATTTGTAAATTCACATTTTCACATTTCATTATGTACCAACATTTATCCATTTCTTATTTCTTGCCCTGTGTCTTCCCTCCACCCGTTTCTGACTTCCTTGTTATTATTTTGTAACTTTATTATAAAAATTGTAATTTTGTATCTTAATAATTAAACGTTCAATCTTATACATCTGCTTAGCTTAACTTTGTGAAATCAGTCTATACATATCAATAAATTCTTGCTGGAGCATCTTTTGGTCATGTATTCTTCTACACATTTCCATTCCTGATTCAGATTTTGATTAGATTGCATTCTAATTGTTGCTGTCATTTTTGTAATTCAATCATTTCAAAAAATTCATGTTGCCAATCTTTCAGTGTTGGTACTTCTTCTGATTTCCAATGTGAGGGCGATCTGGCTGCGACATCTGTCACCCCATTAATCACTAGGGTTGATTTGGCTGATCTGGCTGGCTAGGCAGGTGTCCCCTTCCTCCCTCACCACTCCATGTGCGTCCTTCCCAAAGCTGCACGCTCAGTAGAAGAGGACGACCATCCTAGATAGAAGGAGTGTACTGTTCTTCAGTCAAGGGTATACGATAGCTGCGCTCCCCTGCTAGAACCTCCAAACAAGCTCAAGGTTAACACTCTATTCCTGAATAGAACTGTGGTATATTCACGATACCTAGGTTCTGCACATGACAAGAGCGAGTGGTACACAAACACACAATCAACACCCCTTCAGCCTGCCTGAGCACTGCATGACCCTAGGTTCATGCGTTCTTTGGCCAAGATGGAGTTGAACTGGCACATCATGGCATAGGTAACTCTGGGGTCATTAAGCATGTTGCTGGTCAATTGCAGAGTGTCAGAAGTAAACACACCAATTGTGTGTGTGCAGGGACAAACACGCACACAAACAGGTCTTGTACTGGAAGAGAAATGTTTCAGACAATGGCCTCAAATAACTTTGCATACACCAGCTGCCCACAACATATGCACATTTTTTTTCTATACGAAGGACCAGATTTTTGCCAGATGTTTTCTTTCACTGGCTGCAAATTCAGGCTCTCATCTGCGAAGCCAAAGATGACGTGAATCCTGGCTGGGTTCCCATGTCTGTCCCCACCATGCACAAAACAGCTGCGTAATGTGAGAACTGTTCACTCATATATTTTTTGCTCAGAGGCACCCCCTGCACACATTTATGCAGTAACACTTCATAAGAGTTTTTGCTGTATTTGGCCAAGGAAAGAAAGAAATAGACCAATGTGGCTGAAGCGCACTGTCCAGACAGTGACAAGGAAAATAGACAGACGCCAATGTAGCAGGGTTTTTGTTGAACCCCAAGGAACTATAAGGAGCAGAGTTTCCACAAGTCCATTTGAGTTTATCCAGGGATTCCCTAAGCAAGACTTTGATGTTTCATGTCTCATTTGTCAGACTCCAGTTTTGAGGCTCATTTGCCTTTCTTTGCCACAGATACAAGGCCTGCTACGATGTGTTTTATCAGTGCTGCCTGGCTCACAGTGGGAAAGCATGAGGAACATAAGGAACTGCCTTATACAGTGGTACCTCGCAAGACGAATGCCTCGCAAGACAAAAAACTCGCTAGACGAAAGGGTTTTTTGTTTTTTGAGCTGCTTCACAAGACGATTTTCCCTATGGGCTTGCTTCACAAGACGGAAAAGTCTTGCAAGTTTGTTTCCTTTTTCTTAACACCGTTAATACAGTTGCGACTTGACTTCGAGGAGCAACTCATAGAACGTGGTGTGGTAGCCTTTTTTGAGGTTTTAAAGACTTTGGTGATTTTTGAAGCTTTTCCAAAACTTTCCCGACACCGTGCTTCGCAAGACAAAAAAAATCGCAAGACGACAAAACTTGTGGAACAAATTAATTTCGTCTTGCGAGGCACCACTGTATTGGGACAATTTCTACATTCCTAGGTGCATACTAGGAACCAAAACTGGAAGCTGGTGAATGTCTTCCTCCCCACCCACCCCCAGCAGTATACCATTTCATTTTTTAAATAATCTTTTTATCAAACGTTTTCTGCATATACAATAAAAACACACTAATCTAAAAAGGGGGGAAATGGAAAAAAGATGAGTAAAGGAAGAGAATAAAGAAGAAAAAGAAAAGGAAATTGTAACTCTCCATTTAAATGAAAGGCCTCAATTAAGATTAAGTCTTAACCCAGGCTTCCTCAACCTTGGCCCTCCAGATGTTTTGAGACTACAATTCCCATCATCCCTGACCACTGGTCTTGCTAGCTAGGGATCATGGGAGTTGTAGGCCAAAAACATCTGGAGGGCCAAGGTTGAGGAGGCCTGTCTAACCCTTATTCCACACAAAGTGAGCCCTCCCAGCCTCTCACCTTGGGAGAGCCTCTGTCCTGTCCCTCACACAGGACCCTTCATCCAAATGTCTTGATGCACAACCTGCTCAGCTGGTCTACTTTATAAGAACATAGGAAGACCCTGCCAGATGTCAGCAGTTGCCCATCCAGTGGGTGGACCAAGGGAAGTCAGTGGATTAAGGTCCTCTTCCCCAGCAGAACACAGCAGGCAACAGCTGTTGTGACAATTTTGCTCTGTGCACAGGACAAACCTGAGCCTGATTTCTGCATGGTAGGAACTGAGTCTGACAGTTTCTGGAACAACTGCCATGTTAAGGGGGGGGGGGAGTTTGCCAAGCTGCATGTGACATGCCACTTTGGTTGGTTCTTCCATGAGGAGGAAAAGAACTGGAAGGAGGCAATCATCTGGCTGAAGGAAGCTATGGATCATAAAACCATAGAATCATTCTATGATTCATATGGATCCTTCCAATCATAGAGTTGTAAGGGACCACAAGCATCATCTGTTCCAGGAATGTCGAGTTCCCAAGAGACTGTCATCTACTCCCACTATAAAAACAAAACAAAACTGGCAGTGATCTACCCATTGGATTGGCCAAAGTTGTTGAGCTTTTTTGGGGGGAGCCTCACCACACTTTTGCCTTTGGGAAAACCCTCATGTTGCCCAAGCTGGCTACATAGTACTGTGATGTCATCACACTTGCTATGTGATCCCTGATTGTCTGGACCAAGCTCGCAAGAAGAACTCCATTCTATTAAAAATAAGAATATGCCAAAGAGGCTGTCAATAAAGGCAGGAAACATGAGTGAAGCAGTGCAAAAGAAGTAAGGTGGTATGCCTCTCCAAGAATATCCACACCCATTTAAAAAATATGGTGCATTAATAACTAGCAATAGTCCTGTTAACTTTCTCTGAAACATTGCTGTTGATGGCAGTGTAGTTGTATTCTTAAGTTTGAGGACATTTAAGAGGATTAGGTAAAGTGGGGGTGAAAATGCAATATAATGAGTACTCTCATTGTTTTCTCTTTTTTCTAGTTGTAGAGACCATTCCTCTGGCACAATAATTAAAGGCAGAACAGCCCCCATGGAGCATATTAAATGTTCTCGTTCCATCCTTCCTAGTAAGAGCTGCACAGCATATAAAATAAAATTTTCCATCCTTAAAAAAAAGTATCCAGGCTGCTTGGATAAGACATCTCTGCTCAGTGAACTGATGTTTACTTTCAGCTGGGATCTGCATCAAGTTTTCAGTAATGCACCTCCCAGCGACAGAACAAAGATCAATGGAGGCAACCCATTGTTGTTTTCTTCTACTTTGTACCTGTTCCCCAGGCTTCAGCAATTAGCAATGACTCCTTTCTTGAAACCATCTGCAATGGAAAGAGATCCTTTTATGAATCAAAAGCTATTTGTTAGTGTGAGTGCCCAGGATGAGGCTTCTCAAGCAATACTTGATTCTCAGAAAACACAATGCAGATGCTAGCCTTTGGCTTCAGCTTCGTGGTGACAGTAATAGGTCACTATTTTAAACTCAGTAAGGCACTAGTAGGGGTCATGATTACAGATGGGGGAACAAATGTATTTTGTCAGTATTTTAAGCAAACAACCCCAGTCTGATATCTGGATAGGGACCCAGCTGCACACTTTTCTGAATTTTGTGGTGCACCTTAGGGTTGTTGTTGTTGTTTTAAGTGTACAAAGGATATGTCAAGGTGGAAAGTGCATGTTTTAGAATGGGAGTGGGGAAATTCAGACCAGGACCAATTGTGCCTCCCCAGTCCTCTCTATTTGACCACTGAATTCTCCCCAGACCACATCCACTCTCCCCAGGTTACACCAGAAACTAGTCATGTTCCACACCCTCCATTTTTTAAAAAACTCTAGAATGCATCCATAAGGTCTGATAATGCCTCTTGCGTGTTCAAAAGATGTGTGTGTGTGTGTGTGTGTGTGTGTGTGTGCGCGCAGAAACTAGCCGACCAATTTTGCCTCTCTTTTGCCTCTGACCTTCCCAACACTGGAATTGGCCCCTGGAGGTGACCAAAGTGAAAATGTGGCCATTGCTTAAACAAATTCCATGCCACTTATATGGGTGGATGGAAAGAAAACAACATAAAAGCAGTGGGGGCAGGGAGAGTGAAAGATGTTGCATGGATGCACACAGAGAGGATGTTCAATAAAATTCACCGTACCCTGATTTTCCACTCATGAACAGGTTGGAGAGAGCTTGGGGAGGCCACTTTCACTCCTCTTAATATACCAAATGCAATCAAAATGCATATTTAATTTTAATATGCATGCAAAAATGAATAGGTTAAAATGTGGGGGGAACCATGCAAACATAATATAAATTGTCATGCATTTTTCTTTCAAATGTACAGATGCAGAAAGAGGATGGAATGTACAAATGAGTGTATATGAACTGGCATAGAAGAGAAAGAGGTAGATATGCCCAGCCATAGACTGTGCACAGTTGCCACTAGATGCTCTGAAATACAAGAGTGGGGGATGATTATAGAGAGGTCTCTGGATACCGTGTTATGTTGTTAAAACCGTTCCTTTTTCCCCTTCAGCAGGAAGAAGTGAATGAATTATTCTCTGCAAGAAAGGAACAGCAGTTTCCTTAGTGGCATACCTTGGGGTCTGAACATCAGGACACTTAAAGCTACCCTGCTACAAACTCCTGCAATGATGGTTGCTGGTAATGGTTGTACCAGACACTGATTCAAAAAAAATCTGGCAGCTATTCTTAATGGGAACACCATCCCTCCAGCGCCTGTTATACAGTACGTATATTCAGAGTATCACTTTGCTGTCTTCTAAGCACAAAAACACTATGTTCCTCCACTCACATTTTCTCTAGATCCTTGTTGTTCTTGGGGCTATAAATTAAGCAATTGAACAAGTCCTGGTAGCAATAAGAATGGAAGGATCCAGGGCTAGAGTTGAGGAATGCCAAACTGAAATCAAGTGGATAGATGGCAGCGTTTTTTATTTGTTATGAAGGGTTCACAAACTTTTGTTTGAGCCTGGAAATCTAAAAGCTGTGGGCACACAAAATACTCATTTAATTGGGGGGGGGAGGTACTGAGAGGTGAGATCTATAACTGGACAGAGCAGTTTACTTCTGATATGTGACAGTTTCACATGAATTCCTTCATAAATCCTGTTTCTGCACAAAACAGTAAAAACCCACTGTTAAAATAGTATTTAATTCCACCATTAAATATATATTTGATACACAGTAGCTTGATGTATGGGGTTTTTTTGTTTTTGTTTTTGCATGCAATGCTATGTTTTTTGAACCAAACCATTGCAAAATTCAGGAAAGTGTCTACTGAGAGCGTAAAATGG